TTTTTTTGTTATTTACGTATTTGTTATAAGGGTGGTAAAACTTAAATATCTTTTTCCTTTTTTTTTAAGGTTATTGTGGCAGAATCGGTCCATGACCTAACTTTAACCTTTTATTTACCATACGTTTTTATCTCTCTAGGCAATATTTTTAGAGTTACTACTTTGTATATCTTTGTTTTATATGGTAAATAATAAATTATTATTATTATTATTATTATTATTATTATTATTATTATTAAATTATACCTAAATCACTTCAAAAAAGATTCCAAAATGTATGATTTACAAAAGTAAACAATACTGACGTTCAGTTTGTGTGCCAACCAAGCGCCATATTGAATTTATTTGACAGGTCGTTGGATTGCCTAATTCTGTTAATTCAAACAGTAGGGTTATGACAAGGTTAAATGAGTATTTCGCCTCAATAAAATCGCTCGGTTTCCTCTTAGACGTACCGCCCGGTATTTTAAAAGATAATATTTTTACATAGAATTAGTACAAAAGTATTTAGAAGGGATACCACACGTTCTTATCTGAATAAGTACATAAAAAGAGAAAAATCATCAAGAATCTCTCGACTTCCTAATGATCTATATTTATACAAGTATAGCGAACGTCTATTCTGTTAATTCAAACAGTAGGGTTAAAAGTTACATGAGTATTTCGTCTTAATGAAATCGCTCGAGTTTTTCTTAGAAAATACCGCCCGGTGTTTTAAACGATATTGTTTTTACACAGAATTAGTAAGAAAGTATTTAGAAGGGATAACAAAAATTCTTATCTGAATAAGTCCATATAAACAAAAAAAAATCATCAAGAATCGATAGACTTCCTAATGATCTATATTTATGCAAGAATAACGAACGTCTATTCTGTTAATTCAAAACGTAGGGTCAAAAAGACAAAATTAAATGAATATTTCATCTCAATGAAATCGCTCGAATTCCTCTTATAAAATACCGACAGGTATTTTAAAAAATATTATTTTTACATAGAATTACTTCAAAAGTATTCAGAAGTGTAACGTTCATTTTTGGTCCCACGAAATAATAAAATTGTTTTGGCTTACCTGGTTAATTATACGAAAAAAAGGGTAAAATCATATTGATGATATCACTATTATTTTTGTCATTAACTAATTTCACCTGTATCCTAACTTTCGGACATCATTATTATAATTTATTTCATCTCACCACTAAGTAAAAGGATGGTAGCTCACCACTAGTATAATACTTTGTACAATGGTCATATTTGCAGTGTAGTGTTCACTGTTTTAATTTGCCAGATTCTCCTAAAAATAGACCAAGTTTCGTTGTAAATTTATACATATTTATTATGTATTATAGTCTCACCTTTGGGTAATTAATTATTTACGATACCATTCTTTAAGATTTTCTTTGTTTATTTTTGTTTATAGCTGTCAGAATTGGGTTAATGTTTTTTAATTATGACAGTGAATGACATAAACGTCACTTGACGACAGAACACCGACAAGTGTCATGTTTGTAGTACGTTCCAATATCGGGCTCAGAACCCGAGGTAAGGTAGTTTCACAATGAGCGATTTTAAGTCGTGAGGGATTTTTTTTTTGCGATCGCTGTTGTATTAATTTGTGTCGGGAACAGTTTCCCAAATGTAGTTATACTGTATATAAATATAGTTTTTAGGGTACCTTTCGTAAATGGTCTGTTAAGTTATATAGTGGGGAATTCTTGAGGATGAATTTCTGAACCCACTTGGCTTGAAATTTATCGGAAAGGGATTTCGGCCATTTTGGACGGCTGACGTATTGTTTCTGTCAGTGGGTGTTGAATCACGAGAAAGACGAATTTTGCGTCGAAGTAGAATTTTGTTAATATTTAGCCCCATCGGCTTACCCTAATTAAAGGGGATTTTAGATTCTACTTCATGGTTAATTGTGGGTAAATGGACATTTCGTATTTTGAGAGGAATTTTAATGTATTGGTAAATTCCTATGGTCATTGGTCCAGCCCATATCTAGTATAGGATTTTAACGCAATAATTGGAAGTTCACAGCATTTGGAGTGTGGAATATTGTTGTGCTGTGGATCATCTCACGTGTTTCTCATCCTTGGAAGGCTACCAAGTTAACCCTTTACGAAAAAGGTATGTTTTGTATATATTTGGTTATGTTACGCACCATGTGGCTGTCAATTTCTTTTGTGTTATGGCATGGTGTAACAGAATATTAATTATTTGAGCTCATAATACTGTTTATGACTCACTGTTGAGCCAATGTAATTTTTCTTTATCCTAGATGCTGAATAGTTTCTAGTTTATGTACATTTTTGGGTAATCCTATAGTTCGGGATGCTTGAGTCAATGTGTATTGACATTTTTCTTTGTAATATTTTAAGGGTTTCACCCAGGGGGTTGTTAACCCAGGATTCGACGACAGTTTCACCCAGGGGGTTGTTAGCCCAGGATTAGACGACAGTTTCACCAAGGGGGTTGTTGACCCAGGATTTCAACAGTTGTACACAGAGGGTTATATCGTCCGGAGTTCAACGGGTTCATCGTGGACAAATCGAGGGAACACAGGACATTGGTATGCTAGCCACCTAGTTTACTTGTAGCTAGATTTACAAGGATGTTTCTCGTTCTGGATAGGAAGATGGGAATGCTGTGAAAGAAGACACCCTACTATCAGGTTTTTCTTATACGTTATATTGAAGGTTTCATGCGTGCATTGTTAAACTATACATTCACTTTCAACCGAATGTTGTCAAGGTATTCTCAACAATATTTATACTTTTGAGCACAGAATGTTCTAGGGTTCTTTCACTCATAACTTAAGTATTATCAAATGTTACATCGTTTAATTGATTAATATTTTAAATTTTTACTTAATTTAAGCACTTAATGCTGATGTAGTAATCCTTCGGGTCGCAGAACACTTGGACTGCTTCCACATTTAAGTTGTAATTCTTCAGTTATTAAGGGCTACTGCCATAATTTTACTTTATTCAATTTATTCATTATTAAATGGACCAGACTTAACGATTAAGTTAAGCAATCTCAGAAGACCCGTGTGGGGGCAGAGATTAAGTAACCTCTTCCAACCTGGGAGTTTAAGTAAATAACCTCTGTGTCTAAAGTCCTTTATATGTTGTATTTTTATTTATTTTTTTTTGATATTTTTATTTAGTTCTATGAATTATACTTAACTATAAAATTTCATGGTTTAATAATTTTCTTTTGGGTAGTTTGGTCTTAACCAAAAGTTAAGCAGATATCGCCTTCCAATTTGGAGAGGGTTATAAGTTTATAAGGATTATAAGTTTATTGTTTAGTTTATAATATATGATATAGTATAGGTGCGGTTATGTGCAAGATTTAAGTTAACTATTATTTTATATTTTATTTTTTATGTAAGGTGGAAATTAATATTTTTCGCAAGCGTCATGCCTGGTACCAAGCTAACGACGAACCGTGCCATACTTTGATACATTATTAATTTTTTTTTTTGGGTTATGCATATACATATACAGTGTAAATTTTCCCTTTAATTTCCTCCAATTTTTTTGATTACCTAAGCCATTAGGTAATTAGTCTGTATATTTAGTAAATATTTTTTTCTTTATAAAGGAACATAAGTTGAGGTTTGTCTTTTATTTCTTTCCTCATTTACTGGGTTTTTGGGGAAATAGGATCATAGTTTGGCCACTATATAGACCCAGTTGGCGCCTATTTATTTGTCTACTATTTCCGGAATTTTTGTAAGCTATCCACCCCCTAGCTGCCGTCTGAGCGACGTCGAAGGCCCGAAGGTTGACACCGGAACAGCCGAAACTTGTGTAACCATAGTAGACAACATTTTTAATTGTAGTTAATACTTTAATAATTTTTTTTTGTTTAAAAATTTTGGTGGAATCACCAAGTTCATTTCTTAGGTTACAAAAGGGGTAACACACGTTCTTTCCTGTATAAGTCAAAACAGAAAAATCATCAAGAATCGCTCGACTTTCTAATGATTTATTTTTATGCAAGAATGAGGAACGTCTATATTGTTAATTCAAACAATAGGATGATAAAAGATAAGATTAAATAAATATTTCGTCTCAATGAAATTGTTGGATTTTCTCTTAGAAAATACTGCCCGGTATTTTAAAAGATATTATTTTATTTTTATCACGATTTTTTCAAATGCAAGAAATATGACGACGACAGCGATATTGTATAATATGATATCCAAACAAACTTTATTTATGGGATATTTCGAGGGAACACATTAATGCTTTGTTGATGTTAACGAATATAAAATATGCTTAGAATGTAAAATATTGATTGGTAAACGAACCAAAACGAATTATTATAATTATAATTAACTTAAAATATAATTGCATTGTTTTATAAAATAAAGTAGTTTATTTTCGATATTCAGAAGGGATAACGTACGTTTTCTCCTGTATAAACAACATTTTATGTTAATGATGAAATATAATAACAGCCTACCTACTGATTCTTCGTCAGAGCTATACTATTTTTATTTTTTCCTGTAAGTATTTCACCTAACTGCCTTATCAACTTTGTTTTGCACTATTTTTATGCCAAACTTAAGAAAAATGAGCATTTTAAATTTTTAAATTCACTTTTAAATATAATGTAGACCGTTGCTGATAAGCACGAAAAAAGCAATAATATGCAGGTTTGGTATACGATAGGAGCAGTGAATATGGGGCATTTTGTTTACTCTAGAAAAAATACGTGCTGATGACATTATAAAATTCATGGTGAACAAATTTTATTTTTTTTTTTATCTTTCTATTAAACATATCTTGTCATCAATATCTGTAAAAAACAGTTTTATTATCATAAAGTTGCACACATGAGATAATTTCTACTGTACACGATAAAATTATCGAAAAAAAGAAAACACGACAATGTAGTTTCAAATTTAATAAGAAATGTTATATCTTTTAAAGAAAATTGATTCTAATATAAATATATTCTTTTTAAATAATGTTTAATTGTTTTAGATTACCGGTACCAAATAAAGCAAAGAAAACTAGAAGACGAACAATTGGACGAAACCATCAGAGCCTTAAGCACGCTTCTAATTATTCCTTGGCCCAATGGAGAAAGCCCCTTTATCTACATTGAAAATCCAAAGAAACCTCTTGATCTAGAAAGTCCAAAGTTTATCGAGGAAGAGGAAGCTGAGGTGGATAGAGTCGACGGTAACGAAATTAATCCTGTTCCCTCTAAGAGAATGAGATATTATAGGAAATATCCTTGGAAGAGAGAACATTTGGGGTAAGGACTAGTAAATGCTATAAATATACGGGAGATTTGTTTATGCATAACCTTTTAATTAGACTATTTTTATTAATATTCTGACCATCACATTATACTTCCAAATATTTTAGATTTATTCCAACATTAAAATTTTTTTTTATTTGAAAAAAAGTTGCATCAACCAGCAGTCTATACATGTAACAATTTTATTATATTTGGTTATAAATATTAATATCTTTTAGGTATTTAAAAATATGATTACAATTTGTTTCATCTAGTATATTTAATAAATTGTTGGGTATGTTACAGTCTGTTTTCTAGACAATGAAGTGTACGCATTCAGTCAAAATATGTTTAAGATAGAATTGTTTCACAAACCTTGCAAATCGGGATAAGTTTACCCTCCATAAGATATTCGTGCGTCAGTCTTGTGTGACTGAGGCGCAAACGCGACATTATTACTTGAATTATGGTTTTTTAAAGGAAAAACCGTTTTAAAAAAAACTTTTTAATTCCAAACTACAACTCTAACGTATGAAGAATCTCTGAAGAATTATTAAAATAAACAAGTTAACATATATTTATAACTTTTTAAATGCTGACTAAGCTAGAGATAAAAAATATTTACTATGCTAATTCTATACATCCTAAGCTGAGAAGATCAGAGACTGATTCTTCGAAGTTTCTGGATTATCTTCTTTTCTTCTTACTTCTAATTCTATTTCTTTATTTTCTTCATTTATAGATTTTCTTTCTTCTTTTCGATGAGGACATATCTTCAATTGTAGTATTTCTTTTCTTCTTTTCCATATTAAATAAATGATAAGGCATAAGATTATAATTATGATAATTGATATTGATTTAGTTTTATAAGGATTGTCTATTACTTCTTCTACTGGTTTTAAACTTTTAGCAATTTTACTTATTTCGTATAAATTTTCAAAATTGACTTTAGTTATATTAGCTTATTGAAATTAAAATGGTGTCTTCATATCTTCTATTTCGAATTTTGGTAAAATCAGAGGCGTTCCTTCTTGGATTTGGACGTCGTTAATGTAATTTTCTTCATTAATTTCTATATTACACTTTTTTGGAATTTTAATTAAGACTGGTTTTTCAATTTTTAAATATTGATTGGATTCGCACATTGAAAGTATTTTTTTAGGCTTTGAGGGCATAAATAGGACTTCGTCTCTTGTGATTTGTTGACTGATTGATTCTTTAATGCTTACATCTAAAAATTGGCAATTATTTGGATTATTTCCATCTAATAGTTGAAGGGTGCAATCATCTTTAGTAATATAATTATCTTGACAATAGTATACTTTTTCTACTGTTGGACATTCATCTTTTTCAAATTGAACTTCGGTTTTCTTCCGTGCCAAATAAGGGTAATTGGGGATGAACATTTTGTCATTTTGGATAATAGGGTAAAGGTGATAAAATTCATAGGAAACAGGTTTTAAAATAGGAATATGAATAGCAAATATTAGTTTTGTTTTAGAAAATGTTACTTGTGTACCTAGAATTTGATAATATGAAAGAATATTTTGAAATTTGAGAATTTCATTTTCTTTATATAATTTAGATAAATATTGTAATAATTCTAAAATTTGTTCAATAGAAATTATTGAATTATGTAATGTATTTAATTTTAAAAATGATATTGCATTTTCTAAATTATCAAGTAAAGTTATTATAGTTTGACAATCTAAATTAATTTGAGATAGTGCTCCTTGAAAGTTTACAAAAGTTTCTAAAGTTTGTATTTTCCTTGCTATTGAATATTGGAGTTTTTTAAGAGTATCAGTAAATGCTTGTTGATTTTTAAATAAAATTGTTATTGTCCGATTATAGTGATCAATTAATTTTTTATAAAGTGACATTTGTAAATTTGTTTCTGCAATGAGATTTTTCTGATTTTGTTGTAAATGATCTATAGCTTTATTATATCTTTCTTCATCATCTGAGTCTAAATTTCCAAATAACCATTTATTGAATTTTCCAAGACCATTGATTAAGCCTCTTTTATTTCTAATATAAGGATGAATATTTCTTAATTTTTTCTGGACAGTATTTATTAATATTTTAGTTCGTAATAAATTATTTTGAACAAGACTATGATATGATATTTGATTAGTTATATTATCTACATGAATAATAAGATTTTTAAGTATTTCAAAATTTTTAGTTAATTGCTAAACTTGTTCAATTATAGAATTTATATCTATATAATGTAAAAATGTATGTTTACTATAAATTACTTTTGATGTTCCCAATTTTATAGGTAATAATAAATTTTCAAGTCAAGTTATTTGTATATCTTCTTGTGCGTTAATTTGTTCTATTACTAGAAGTACTAGGCAGATTATCATTATTTTTATCCCCATTTTCGTCTTGTTTTTGTAACAATAAATTTGAATTAGTTTTTGAACCTTTAGGTTTTTTAATTAATCTTTTGTGATAAGTCCCTTTGTTAGTTTTTAATAAAATACCTTTATTTTTAATTACCTTAGTTTTCTTATAAACTGGAGAAGCTTTATTTCTTAATTTATTTTTTATATATGCAGTGCTTGGTTCTTCATAATTAATTGGTTCTGATCAATTTTCATTTCTATTTTCTATTACTTTTTGTTTAATTGTTTCGTTTTTATCTTTTATGTCTTCATATAATTTTTTACTAATTTGTTTATGATTTTGTAAGTAATTTGAAATTATAAGGTGATTATTTAAATCAAAAGGATCTTCATTATTAATATGTCCTTTAATTATTTGATAAGGTGTGAATTTTGTTACGGAATGTACGGAATTATTATAAGCTAATATAGCATGTTTTATTAATTGATCAGGGGTTAAATCATTATTTTCTTCTTTGAGAAATCTAAAATGTTCAATTAAACTTGAATGAAAACGTTCTACAGGTGAATTTGAATTGCTATTTTTAGTAGTAGTATAATGAAGTTCAATATGATGTAATTTACAAAAATCTTTAAATCATAATTTTTGAATTCAGTGCCACTATCTGTTGTAATTTTTTGAGGTAATCCATGATGGGTTACAAAATTTAATAAATTATCTACTACATTTATTCCTGTTATACTTTTCATAGGATATGCCTGACCATATCTTGAAAATGAATCAATAATAGTTAAATATGATTAGAAATTTTAAATACGTCAATATGTATATGTTCAAATGGTTTTGTGGCTGTAGGCGTTAAATTAAATTTTACTTTTGGAGGATTTCTATCATATTTATTTTTCTGACAAGTTTCACAATTATTTATATAATATTTAATATCTTCTATCATTTTTGGCCAATAATATCTAGAACTTAAGGCTGTATTTACTTCATTAATGCCTCTATGTCCCGATATATAAATATGGTAATATTCAATTTTAGTTTGTTGTTCATCAGTTGTTAAAATGTCTGTCAAAAATTTTGTACAATGTATAAATTTAAATGCAGAATGTTTAAAATTATTTTGCACTGTAGTTATAAATGTTTCAGGTAAATTTCGATTTTTAAAATATAAGGCATATGTTAGTTTTGGATCAATATAATTTTTAACAAAATTAATAATTTGTTGTTCTAAATTAATTTTAGATAAGGTTACGTATATTCTAGAGTTTTCAAAAATCTTTTCTGTTCTTACTTGATTATTCATTGATTCTCTGATTACAATTGGAGGTAATAAAAGTTTGATTTTTATAAGAGTTTAAACTACGTTCTGAAATATGAATTAACTAAAATTATGTTTATTTCTATTAAAACTAAATTATTAATGTTCACTTTTTAAATCTTACTCTTTTCCTATCCGAGTTTGTAAAGTTCTTAAATTTTATTCTCTTTCGATAACATTTGTAGGTTCCAGGATTTTTCATTTTGGTTCTTATACTATTTGATAATGAAAATTTATTATTTTTTTTATTACAAATATTTGCTCGATTTATTTTAATATCATTATGCAATAATGAACATTCTTTTTTATCATATGGATTTATTTTAGAAAGTTCATCTATTATATTTTGAGGTGATTCATAGTTTGTCAAATTATTTTTATGTGAATTAGTATCGATTATATTTTGAAATGATACATCGTTTATTAAATTATTTTTTAAATTAATATCGGTTTGCAAATTATTATTATAATTATTATTATTAGTAGTTTCCAATTCAAAAAGATTATATAAGTTTGTTTCTTGACAAATATCTTCTACGGATTTCGTTATTTTATTTTCTTCTTTAGAGTTCATATGACTCGTTCTAGTTAATTTTGAAATATTTGTTTTACTTTTTTTACTTTTTAAATTTTTAATTTTTTCAAATTTATTTTTAAAACATTCAGATTTGTATAGTTCATGTTCAGAATTTTGGAATTGTTTAGCTAAAATAGGATTATTTAATTTAATAGAAATACTTTTATCTGTATTGTTTTGAGCTTCAATTAAAGCAAATCCGTTTTTTGCGGTTGTTATCATTCGAGGTAAATACATATTTCCAAAATATGTTTCTTCAATAATTATGTCTTTATCCTGTATACTAACAGGTAATTTTTTTAAAAGAGATTCTTTACCATTAACGGTAAACGAAAAATTTATATCATTTGGTTGTCTATATTTAAAAGGAATTTCAACATACGGGCCTATTAATTTCTTGTTGATTAAATCTATATTTAAGTTCATGTTAACTAGGTCAGTAAGTCCAATAACACCATAAAAAAGTCATGAAAATCATAAACAATGAAATTAATCACGTACTGGCAATTAAATTCTGCGAATGCTAGGATATCTGACTGAATTCGGATCTGTTTACTCCCCAGTGATGTTTTCAATGTTATATTTGCGTGAAAAATTGTTTCAGGAAAATATTGTTCAATAATGAATGGTTTAATTATTGATTTGGAACTTCCAGTGTCAATAAGCAGTTTGATTGGAGGATTTTTAATTTCTACATATGGTAGTGGATTATTTATATTATAATTATTCATTTCTATTATGTAATTGTTTCTGAAAGGC